CTGCTGCTGGCGGAGGAAGCGAGGAAAGGACCCCCCAGGAGGTTTGTCCCCGGGGTCGGTGCAGTAGCTCACGGGACAGCCAGCCGTGGGGTTTTGGCTGTGCAGCCCCTGCCCTCCTCCTGACTGCTGTCACGCTCCTAACGCTCTCCGTGCTGGCCCTGGGCTTCTCCCTCCTCCTGGGGCTGGTGCGGGATAAGCCACCGGGCACCATCACCCCCCCTGCCAGGCACTGCACGTGGCACAAAGTCCTTGCCCATCCCTGCTGGTGCAGTGCTGTCCAGGTTGGTGAGCTAGACGAGGCATCCCGGCAGCCCGAGCGTTGGTGCCCCAACCTGGAATCCTTGTCGCACGGGGTCTAGAGGGCTGTGCGGGTTTGGCTATGCATTTTATTCTGAGCTGGAACATCCCTCCCCAGCCCCTGCCAGGTGCCAACCAAGTAAAAACTCCCGCTTGCTAAGGGATCTCTTTCTCCCTCTGCTTTGCTTTGCTTGGGGGCTGACCCCCCCAGTCTGGGGGCTCTAACACGTCAGCTGTCTAACACTGACCCTCCAAACTCCCCCAGGACATGACGAGCAGACGCTCACTGTCTATGAGGAGGTGGGGAAAACCCAAACCGGCCGAGACCCCGTGAGTGCTGGGGATGTCCCTGGGTGACCCCTCCCTGTGCTGCCTGGAGGGGTGGAACTTCTATTTGGAAATGTCTGCATCCTTTAACCAGCCCGGGGGTTGTTTTCTCCCCCAGAATGGGACCAGTGGGGCCATGGTGGGAGGAAACACCGTCTACGCCGTCGTCTGCACCAAAACGCAGGTAGCGTCAGTCCTGTGCTGGCGGGGGGGGCTGGAGCTCCCCCGTGGGCTTGGCTGTGCAGCCCCTGGGCTGGACACAGCCACCAAGACCACCCCTTTTGCCCCAGATTTGTTTTTCTTTGCACATCTTGACCGTTCTTCCCTGGCAGGGACCCAGCTACTCTCAGGATTCCGAAAGGTGCACCATCTACTCCACGGTTCAGCCCACCACGACGGTGAGGTTTCCCCGCTGTGACCCTGGCCCCTCTGCAGCTGCACAGAAACTGGGGTCCCCTTGGTTCATCAACTGGGTGCTGGGTTCACCATCCCGGTGGTGTGTTGCCTAACGGCAGGTTCTTGCTCTGCTCCACAGCCTACTTCTCTGAAGAGGAAGAGGCTGGACCCAGCTTTGGTTTCCACTGCCTACGTAGAGGTAACAGGCACCGAACTCGTGGGGAGCCGAGCCTTGAGTATCTCCAAAGCTCGTCAGGTTTTGGGGTTGCGATGTGTTAAACCTCACCCATTTCCTTGCAGGCCACGGGGGGTTCTAGACGCTGGTACCCCCCATTGCAGACCTCATCCCTGGGTCCTGCAGGCCACCAACTCTCCTAGTGCCCTGGTTCCCTCGGCAAGACCTTCCCTTCCTTACGGGCCTCTTCTCCTGCAGCACTCGGAGACCTCCAGCACCCACCAGGACCCCACCCAGCAAAGCTGGAGGCTCGCTCGGGGTGGAAACGGTCAGACATGGATTTTTGCAAGGATGCAAACCCCAGTTGCGCCTTGGAGGCTTTCCTGTGAGGCAGGGAGGAGAGACTCGGTGATGGAAACCTGTCTTCGGAGGAGATGGATGTGAAATTGGACAGGCAGGGTCGTGGGGGAAGAGGATACGTGTGATGTGCGTGTGTTTAGTGCCAGTGTGTGATCCTGTGGGGTTTTTTTAGGTCTTGACAGTTTTGATACACCTTGGGAATTTATTTTCAGGTGTGAATATAAGCTGAACTGTGTGAGGCAATTGTGGTGCTTGTTTAATTAGCTTAATTGGCTATTTATAGCCTGAAAATGTACCTTGGGCCTGGGGAGGGATTGGAAATTGCCTTGTTTGTGGCTCGGGAACCTCTGAAGCGAATGGGGTCTCATGCACTTCGCAAAGTTTCAGCCACGGGTGACGACGAGAGGTGACCGTGGGCATCGGCTTCGGGCAGGATGGTCCCTGCACCAGCTGGGCTGGGCACGGCCCTGGGTGCCCCCCGAGCGTGCTGAGACTGGAGATACCACCACGTCCCTTCCCACCTAAGTTATCCCGTGACAGCACGAGTGGCGGTGGGAGAAAGAGGTGGAGAAAGAGGGGCTCGGGCTTCAATAGATCTTCCCAAAGGCAAGATCAAGGGCTTCTCTTTGGGATTAAAATGAAATGTGGCACTTTGATGGCGGCATGGGGAGCGTTGCGGAGCCGCTCCCGCCCGAGTCCCTGGATCAAAATAGCTTTGTGGCTGCTCCCTGTGAAGTGAGCATTAATTGGGATCATTAACCAGGAGCTGTGCTGGGAGGCTGGCTCGGGGAGGGAGGGGGTGTCTGTCTGCCACAACAAGGGAATTTAGGGGGCCAGGCTGGCATGGATGGGGGCACAGGCACAGTGTGCCGGCACTGCCACCGGAGCCGGGCTGGTTTACGCCATCCTGAGCCCCGTCCTCTGCTTTTCATGACATGCAGGTAAGTCAAATACTTCTTGCACTGTAATGCATCCCCCTCTGCACGTGGTGGTCGGCATTGATGGAGAGGCGGCAGCGGGGCCTGTGGCCAGCTGGATTCAGTGGGAAAAGTTCAGGCACGATGGAGGGGATGGAAATCCTTCAGCGCGGGTGCTGCGGATGCGGCGGCCCGCCTTGCCCGGCCGTGGCTGGGGGCCGCGGG